CCCCCCCCCCAGACCTGCTGACGACCCCCCCCGGGATGAAACGGGGCGTCGAGTACAAACCCCAAGGTGAGGGGGGGTGGGGGGACCCCTGAAATTTGGGCCTCTCCCCAACTTGTGGGGGTCTTTCATCCTCTGAAGGGGTAGTTTTGGCCCTGGGGGGGGTAGATTTGGGGCGGGGGGGGTTGTTTTGCCCCTGAGGGGGGGGGCAGGAGCTGGGGGAGTCCATAGGGCAAAGACCCCTCCCCGATCTGGGGGTGCCCCCCTGACCTTCCCCCCCCCCAGCCTCGGCGGGGGGGCCCCTCTCCCTCTCCAGCCTCCTGGAGACCCTCGACACCTTCGAGCTGGGGGGTGATGAGCCCGGGGGGGACCCCAAAGAGCCCGAGGGGGCCCCCAAAACCCCCCCCAAGGAGGGGGGGCTGAGCCCCCCGCCCGCCCCGCGCCGCTCCGACAGCCTGGAGGAGCTGCTCACCAAGGTGGGTGTCGGGGGGCAGGAGGGTTTGGGGGGTCCTTCTGCACCCCCTGCTCATCCCAAACCCCCCCAGGAGGAGGCAGGACCCCCCCCTCAGCCCGCCGGGCCCCCCCCGGAGCCCCCCGAGGAGGTTTGGGCTGAGATGGTCGACACCAAATCCCCCGTGGAGGATTTTGAGAAGCTGCTGCCGGACCCCGCGCACAAGGTGGGAGGGTCGGGGTGCCCCGGGGGGGGGATCCCGGGGGTATTTGGGGGGTCCCGGGGAGGTTGAGGTGGGGTTTGGGTGTTCTGGGGGTTGTTTGGGATGTGGGGAGGGGCTCGGAGTGAGGTTGGGAGGGAGCTGGAGGGATTTTGGGGGGATTCCGAGTTGGTTTTGGGGGTGTCTGGGATGGCCCCGGGACTCAGCACAGGGAAACCTGGGGGGCATTGGGGGGGACTTTGGGGTGTCACGGACCCCTGGGGGGGAAGGGGAGTTTGGAGAGGGGTTTGGGGTGACCCCTACCCCATTTTGGGAGTTTGGAGAAGGGTTGGGGAGGATTTGGGGTGACCTGTACCCCCATTTTGGAAGTTTGGAGAGGGATCGGGGGGGTTTGGGGTGACCCCTACCCCATTTTGGGGGGTTGGGGGGATTTGGGGTGACCCCTGTCCCCATTTTGTGTCCCCTCAGTGGCTGTTGCCCCCAGACCCCTTCCAGCAGCTGCAGCAGGGGCAGTTGGGGTCTGGGGGTTCGGGGGTGCCCGGGGGGGGTGTTGGGGTGCGAGTGGGTTTTGGGGTGACCCTGTACCC